CTTCAATTTTGAATAAATCCCCAACAGTGTCACCAGCAGACCACATTATCACACCTCCTCCACGTGTTTCACGATGGGAACCATGCATGTAGAGACAGTCTATTCACCTTTTCTGCATCACACAAAGACAAGGCAGGTGGAACCAAAGATCTCAAATTTGGACTCATCAGACCAAAGCACTGGTCTAATGTCCATTCCTTGTGTTTCTTGGCCCAAACAAATCTCTTCTGCTTGTTGCTTTTACTTAGTAGTGGTTTCTTGCCAGCTATTTGACCATGAAGGCCTGATTTGTGCGATCTCCTCTGACCACCGTGCAGTTTCCACTGAACAGTTGACGTAGATGTGTGTCTGCTGCTGGAACTCTGTGTGGCATTTATCTGGGCTCTAATCTGAGGTGCTGTCAACTTGCCATTTCTGAGGCTGGTGACGCAGATTAACTTATTCTCAGCAGCAAAGGTGACTCTTGGCCTTCGTTTCCTGGGGCGGTCCTCATGTGAGACAGTTTTGTTGTAGCGCTTGATGGGTTTTTGCAACTGCACTTGGGGACACATTCCAAGTTTTAGCAATTTTGCTGACTGACCTTCAGTTCTTAAAGTAAAGATGGACTTTTGTTCGTGCAATAATAGGAATTTTAACAGTTGTCAAATAGGGCTGTCAGCTGTGTAACAACCTGACTTCTGCACAACACAACTGATGGTTCCAAGCCCATTAAGAAGGCAAAAAATAAAACATATTTAGAGTTATTTATCAATTGTTTCTTTGCTACATAATTCCAGATATCTTGCTTCATATATTTGATGTCTTCAGTTTGTATCTAACAATGCGGAAAGTAGTAAAAATACAGAAAATACATTAAATGAGAAGGTGTGTCCAAACTTTTGACTGGTAGTGTGCTTTTGTTATATTAAAGTAATAATAACAAAATTTAAGGTTCAGTTAGCTTTGCACAATAATAGCTGGTACAAAGTATGGAGTATTTTTTAACACTAGTATTTGTACTACTACTTAAGTACAGAATGTCTGTACTTTGCCACCCTGGGTTGTGTGTAATAAGATTTAAAGATTTCATTTATTCTTTAAAGATCTGTAATGGTTTCATCTGTGATTCTGATTTCATTTACTTCATAACTTCATTTCATTCACTTCTCCTCTCCTTTTGTAACAATTTTATGTGCCATGTTAAAGCTTTTCCTGCCTTTTCTCCTTAATTGTGTTAGGTCTCCTCTATTCTAAATAGTTCTGCTTAGGCTTTGTCATTAATTTATCATATTTTGCTTGTAGTTCTCTTCAAGTACAATTCACCCAAGCTCACCAGAATTGATTAGAAGAATAGAAAGAAATTTTTCCAAGGCATAAAGAACATGAAAATCTTGACCTATCCTGCTTTGTATCAACAGTTCATACTGCTGGTGCAATAAAGACGCGGGAGCGTATTGTTACTGAAGATCTCCATCTATTTATCACCGTTATGTACTTATCTTTTACAGCAGGATCTCTCCAGATCTTTGTAAAAACAACGAGATACAAATTCAACTTCTAAGGGGCTAGTATGAGGAAATCAGCTTGTTAGAAATATGGCTATGCATCAGGTTTTCAGTAGAACCTTGCCGACTAAGCAGCATTGCTGAGAAACATGGCATCAAAATCAAGTGTAAGACTGAGAAGTCAGCTTGTTATTCTGAGCAAAATTCTCTAAACCAGATAAGCTATGTTCAAAGCATGATTCACACATGGCCATGTACTAAAAAGCTCAACATTACATATACTTCCACTCTCTGACTGTATTTACCCTAACATCAGTAATCAGGCGATCACACGAAGATACTTATCATCTTGGTAAATCAACCCACAATTTCGGAATGATGCTATGATCACATTGACTGATTCATTCATTTCATTTCTGATCACGTAAGTTATGTTTGTTTGGGCAGTCAGTTGGTTTGTCAAGTTCACATTTCTTTGCCTGAGTTTAGTTTTGTTTCTTTGACTTCTTTTATTAGCTAAATATTTATCACTTTTGTAAATATAACCTTTTGGGTTAAATAAAGGAAAAATCCTCTTCTTCCAATAATTCCTCTGACTCCTGCTTTTCAACTTGGTCCATCACATAAATGGAGGGTTTGTATGAATTTAAAAACTTTAAAGTTGTCGATGTGAATGGAGTGGCAGTGTGATTTTCCAATTTCTTTACTGAATAATGCTACTTTAAGTGCTTAATGATTTGATCAACTCCCTCCATGTGGTCAAGAGACTGAAAAAAATGCTGTGCATCTTTCTCCTTTCTCCTCACAAGTTGTTCTTCACTTTAAAAAATTCTGGTCAGCGTGGTCAACTTTCCTTAGGATTGATAACTAAAAGTGTCCACCATTAAAGTGGTGTAATATATTGAAATCTGTGATTATTCATTATGAATTGTTCTTGTGATTATGAATTATTCTATACACTGCAATAGGTCATAACTATTTAAGTTGCTTTTGAATGTAATATTTTACTGAGATAAGGTTTGCAAATGTGAAAAGAACTGACTGCATTTGAAAGTAGTATATTACTAATTGTAAGGTACTGTACACATTAATTATGAATCAAAAACTTTGAACCTAGATTCACCCCTGCTTTCTTCCTCAGGATGTCTTTTGTCCTGTCTTCCTCTCCTCACCTCGTGGCAGATAGCTGCCCCTCCCTGAGTCTGGCTCTGCTGGAGGTTTCTCCCTCTTAAAAAGCAGGTTTTAATAATATTATTATTATTGTTGCAAAAATCTATTTTTCGTTTATATTAGTGGATTTAAATGTTATTCACACCTAGTTTTGTTAATTTTGAGTGTATTTTCAGTTCACTAAAAATATTTATTTCTATTGTTGTGCAGTATTCACTGTTGTAATATTGCATACTGCCGCTGGGGACAGCAGTCCTTCTTCGCTGTATCCCTCATACGTGGAAAGCGTTTCCGTTTCCGGTCCGTTTCAACACAACAATCGCAATGGCGGCAGCTGGAGAAGCTAACGGAGGAACAGGCAAACTGGAGTTGTATCCTTTATTGTTGTCAATATTTACCACTGAGGTCTATGAAAACTTTAATGATATTTTCTACTATCAAAGGGCAAAGCGAAGCTTCTTGAAACGAAACATTCGAAGTATTTGTGCCGGTAATTGTATCGAGGTTTCGAAATAACCTGAATCTGGGCTCTGTCTGTTTGGGTGTGTTAGGTTGACTTTTAAGCTTAATAGGAGTTTGTGTCATCAGGTTTGTTCTACACTGTCAAGCGAAGCTAGAAGCTGGCATAGAGTTTGAAGTTTAAACATTTTTAAATCATCCTCTAAAGATTATTTACTACTCACCGATGACTATAGCTACTGTGGATGTTGTAACATTATGTTTGAGTCTGGAGTTTTGGTTGTAGTGAACCTGCACCTTCCTGTTGTTTAAGAGATATTTGCACACGAAGAGTCAGTGAGAATAAAGAAAAGGGGTAAAAAAAAAAATGTTAAGAAATAGGTCGCTTGTAATAAATGAGTGTGTTTTTCAAGCTTTTATTTTTAAAGCATAAATATATTCCTTATGGTGGGGCAGTGTGTCAGTAACAGATTATAGTAAGGATGAAGCCTTTTTAATGCAGCAAATAGCATTTTCCATTGAAAGTAGGACAAAATGAGAGAACAGAGTCAGAGATGAAAAACCCGGCCTCTTTTATTTTTCTCTTTTGCCTCAGTCATGTCCTCAGTCTTCCTTGACCCTCATGCAGCTCTCTGGATGTTCCCTTCCCATCATCTCGTGAGGCCACCATCGCTCTGCGGTCGCTCTCCCCGGACAAAGAGCCCCGGAAAGGTGGCATAAGCAAACTGATTACAGTGTCTGGCAGCACGCTTTCTGTGTGAGATTATCTTCCTTGGCTCCTTCATAGCCCGTATCAAACCGAGCCCTAACATCTGTGTCATTTTTGTACTAAAAATCTTTCGCTGTGTTTCAGGAGGTGGAGCGCTGATGAAGCACGAATCCTGAGAGTGTCTGTGAACTCGTTTCTCGATCATCTATCCCTTGTTTTGGAGACCATGGAGATGTTTGGTCCACCTGTTGCCGTATGATGTATAACAAGTGATTCTGGACTCTGTTTTTGTTGCTTGGAACTAACTGAGGTCCTACAGACTGGACTGAAGTTTGATTAAGTGAGCTAAAGTAACTGGCACCTTCGAACACAGTAAAAGGTGGTTGATGAAGTGGAACTGAGGGGGAGATTATGACACTGGCTCAGTGCTCAGTTGAATAATTTCTACAGCTGTGATTGAAATAGATTCACAGAATGTATCTGATGGGGGTTTAATCATAATAATTCTTTTCAAAAATACAAATGTATGATTATAATATTAGTAAGTTCAGTCTTGCTTTATTTGGCTACAGCTTCTAGATGCCTTTTAATTTTGTTTTGCCGGCAATCATAAAGTTACCATTTTGGACAGCTAGAATCATACTCTCACTGAATGTGTATGTGTTCAGATGAAGACTTCTCATTCAAACAATGAATTAAAAATCTGTCCAGCTATCACTATGTAAACCAGTCCGAGGCTTAGACCATCAAATTGATAGAACTTTATAAAAATGAGAACTTTTCGGCACTTGTTTTCTCACACAGTTACATTTGAGATAATTTATGTACATGTAAATAAAGAGTTTATGATTACTGAAAGTAGTGCTGCAACAATTCAGCAACTAATTCGAATAACTCGATTATAAAAAAAAATTCAACACACATTCTTTACTCCGATGCTTCATTTAGTGGATGGCTCTGTAGCGTGCCATTGTCACCATGGAAATGTGAGTGTTTTACCCACATTTGCGATTAAAAACAGACTTGCAATAGACACTAACCTAGGAGCAAGTTGTGGACCTAAGAGCAGCTCCCTGAACAGGGTCCAGTAACTATCACAGTGGCAGATATCTAATAAAGGGTCTCCAGTATGAAGAGTTGGACAGCAGCAGGTCCCGACATGCTTCACGCATACTGACTGAAGAAGCTGATTCCACGAGCATACGGCAGCACAAATGAACCAGCTGCTAATCGATGAGAAACACCCAGAATTGCTAACTGAAGGTCCCATCCACCTACAAGCCAATAACCTGCCTGAGCACCACATGGAAACTCCCGTCAGGAATCATAGTGGCTAAGATGAACAAGCACATGGCTAAATACTTGAGTGGGGAACAGAAGAGAATAGGCAGGAACACCAGAGGAGCAAAACACCAGCTACTGACTACAAGACCACCTGTGATTTAGTGCCCCACACCTGGATCCCAGAATGCCTAGAATTGTACAAGATCATTAGGACCCTAAGACCCTTCATCGAGAACTCAATGGGGATGTGGCGTACAACGATAGGGGCAAACTTCAAGCCCATAGCACTGTAGCTCTGTCCCCACTGCTGTTCTGCATAGGCCTGAACCCCCTCAGTCAGATCATTGACAGGACTGTCTACAGATACTGACTACAGAATGGAGCAATCATCTGCCACCTCCTCCATATAATAAGCTCAATGCCTTTTATCCATTACCTGCTCCTACATGACGTTTGTGCAATCAGAGTAAACGTCTGTCGTGCTACCCTAATCTGATTTTTACTGCACTACCAACTTCTTAACTATGTTTAAAAAGAACAAAATATACATAAAATAAATACATGTTCTTTAAAACGAAATACTCCCCAGAGAGTGGCAGCTCTAGAGGTTTGTGCTCTGCTACAGCAGCATGACAAAATAACATCTCTATGGGAGTGCTTCTTGTTTATGCCATGAAATGTGCACCATACATTCACTAATGTAACAGGCAAATAACAGGGCTTCATGTTCTGCTTTCTTAGCAAAAGTGAATTCAAATTTTAGTGTCATTTTAATTCAATATTAGTTTCCAAGACACAACATACATTTCTGTTTTTATTATATAACATGAACTTTTCAGAGTTATGGTTAACAGCCCAATAGAAAACTTTATATTCACACTGCTATACACTGTAAGTAAAACTGATTACATAAAACTTCATATAACAGACTCCTCAGAGCACGGACTCCTCAGATTCACAGCAGGAGATAATTTATTAAAATCAGTCTGTTTCCATTCATAATCCTCATGTTCATCTATAACTTGTTTCTCTGTGTGGCCTTAAAAGTCATCATCATCACATATGTCCAGATACACATCGAAGGCCTCTCGATTGCAGTTTCCATCAGGGGTGAACACATACTTATGGAAGGTCCCGTCCACACATATGGCTGCAGGAGAAAAAACAGAACTACAATGACAATTTTCCTTTTTAAAGACACAGCGAGTGTAGCACTGTGGCTCTATGGTATTAAGGAGACAAAAAAAAAAAGAAGGCACAATGACATAAATTCTTGTTCTTGTTAAAATATCAGATGCCATATGTAAATACAAGTGAACTCATGCTAAGTGTAAAACATGCGTGCATGGTGCGTACAGCACAGAATGGTCATTATGGGAGTTTTTTTCTGGACTACTTTTTTTTTTTTTAACCGCAAAGGCTGACACGTATGATCCAGGGCTGCAGCTACCGATTGTTTTAGTAGCAATCCACTGAATATTCAAGCTATAAAGTTTGTTTTTCTTCACATGCCACAATTGTATCTTTTTTTTTTTTTTTTAAATAATTGCAGACGTGGGCTAAGTGCTTACATTTAGATCCTTAAAACGCATTAAAAACTGCATCAAAGCAAAGAATCAGATGATTTTTTGGTAAAACTCCCATCACTATCTAATCCTATCCAATAAAGAAAACGGGATCAGCTGTTTGAGAGTCTATAGGTTGGTGTGCTTCCAGTGTGGCTCTCTCCCCTCCCCATCTTGTCTCTCGGGATGTTACACTGTGACAGACTTCTTTTTCAGATTCCCGATAAGCATTAGTTCGCCGCACATCTCCTCCTCCTTTATTGTTGAGCCCCAATAGCAGGGTCTCTGGTGCTATGCTACCATGTCCTCACGCCGGAAGTCCCGGCTCGTCCTTCTTTGTTTAGCAGTGAACGAGCCAACCATAACATGCTAGGTGTGAATTTATGGTTATGTCACTGTAACAACCAATGCAGTCATGTTGCCGTGTTGTGTATATGACAAAAGAAAACATTTATATTTTGACATTTCCCTCACCAATGACTGAGTTGACGTTCTTGGAAGTATTCTTTCCAAAAGCACAGATGCAGGCACACTCAGCAGGCACAGTAAAACTGGCCAATGACCATTGGCTGTCCACATACTGACCAATCACAGGACCCACCTTCCCAACACGTGCCAGCCTGTGGGATGAAGAGGAGCAGAGGCGTGAGGATCACGATGGTGTGTGTGTGTGTGTGTGTGTGTGTGTGTGTGTGTGTGTGTGTGTGTGTGTGTGTGTGTGTTAAAAGGACTCAATTAGCAGAAAGTGGTCTTACGCAGAGCGACGGTTGAGTTTGGTGTCTTTGAGTGCAAAGATGTGAACTGTGCCTTTGTCACTGGATGCGCACAAAAAGGATGAGTCATGGCTGAAGTTGATGCTGGAAAGAAAAACCACAAGTATCATTTTACAACTGCCAAACAGGCCATTCTGTAGCTCGGTTACATTAAAACCCTCACTTTTCACTTTTTTGGGATTAGAAGGCCTTTTTCTTTGTCTTTAATTTCTCTGATCTTGATGGAGGAACAGATAATGTATTGTTCTATTGCCAAAAGAATCCTTGTTTTTAAGATGTAAGATATATATTAGTTTAGACTATTGTAATTTATTTAATTAAAGAAATTACCAGAGAACATAATGTGCCCATTAACACATAATGGGCCAGATTCAGCAACCCCTGTTCATGTTACAAAGCTATGGTTAATATCAGCTGAAGCTGTGCAGTGGTGATCTTTTTTTGAATGAAATGTGTAGACAGATATTTTTGTAACTGGCTCTATTCATATGCATTCATAGGAGTTTTAGGAAGAGGGCATTTATTTATTTATTTTTGATTTATTGGGTGAAGGATCTCTGTAACGCTAAGTGTGCTCCTTGCTGCATGCACTGAGGTCTGATGGTCTGATTCTGAGAGGTTTTGAAGACACAGGAACATTGAAATATTCTGGAACATCGGTGCACTACCCATTTACTACTTGAGTGTTTACCAGTAAAGAGTGGCAGGGTCTGTTCCTCTGCGCAGCTCCACCAGTTTGTCCCTGGTCGTTGTGTCGAACAGGCGGATGAGGGTTCCTTTACGAGAGGCTGAAGCTGCCACGCTGCCGGGCTGGTTGAGTGCCACACAGGCAATCTCGCTCTGATGGGCGTTGATAGTAAAAGGGGCAGATGATGTTCCAGGTTTGGTGTTGGACAGATCCTGAATAAAAAGCAACATGTTAGACTACGACTTTTACGACGCAGACATTTTCTTCAGGAGAAATAAAATGTCCTGTTTGTTTGTGACTTACAACCAGCTGCAGGCTGCCACATTTGTGACCTGGGAAGACCAGAAGCTGTTTCTCCAAACTGGGACACAAATCACAAAGACCTGAAAGAAAGAATTCACTGTATTCAAAATGCTAAGCATTATGTTGCAATGGAAAAACAGCTCTACACAAGTAGTATGATACCTTTGGGGTTATCTCTGGTGTCAAACTCAAAAAGCTTGACAGGGTTGTCTGGAAAACTGTACACATAGATCCTGTTCTTCAGCACAATGATGATCCTAGAGGGAGCAAAGGCAACTATCATTTTGACAGTTCAGTGACAATAAACAGAGTATTCGTGAGGTGATGCAAAACTCACTTGTCGTGTCTCATGCGGACAGCCAGAACAGGCTTGGTGAAGGTGAATTCCAGCACCAGTTTGTCCTTAGGATCCCATGACTCCCGAGCATCGTCCCAGATCAACACTGAGACATAGACATTGTTTTGTTAAAAACTTGTTTTTCCATCATGTTTTTAAAGGTGCACTCACATATCTTGGGTATAGCAAACACCTCTCATAATAATGACCTCCACACACACACCGATCAAAGCTGTACAATGCACATCCTACTTTAAACCAACTCACCAGATATTTCTGAGAATTTAGGATTGACTCCACCTCCAATTATGGCCAGCAGGTTAGAGCGATGCAGCATGGAGCACAGGGCTACACTGCCAACCTGCTCATGGTCTGCAAATGACACAAACACATATTCAAGTCCTTTTTAGGGAAATGTGCACAAGAACAATGTTTTCCTTGTATTCTCGTTATGAAAGTCATCGTTTTCCCAGCATTTCAGCCACTTGAGGTACCATGAAAAACATTTAAATACACTAATAAAAGTCTGAAAAGTATTAACATCTATAAACACATAACATGTCTGAAATATTCATGAAACATTTGAAAATAATTACCAAAATGTCTTGAAAAATATTGGTA